GCCACTCCTCAGGCCTCCAGGCCTCAACGGCTCCGCACACTCTGGATCCTGCTAAATATGACTCGCTTGAAAAGATGAAGACAAAGCTTTCATGTAGATTGATGAGCCTCTTCACTTGGAAGATTCATCGACATCCGACGGCAGTACCTTATGATTTCTATTAAACAACTATGCAACGTGAACTATCTAATACACAACAAACAACATGCAAGTAGCAGGGATTAAGGAGCTCGCAAGGCCCGAGGTTTACGGCAACACGGTCGGTCATCGATGTTTTCATGACATGCGGAACAAAGAGACTGAGCGGCCGACAAAGAAGGAACGTCCGACCAGCCCAAACAATAAGCGAGAGAAAATGTCATTCGGATGTATGAAATATGTAGAAGCGTGACGGGGTCATGAGCGGAGCTGTCGTGGCCAACATCGCGCATCTTTGTCTCTTTAGACCGTGTCGAAGTACCTGTGGCGGTAGAACGGAGCGGGCTTGGGCTTGAACTTGAGCTCGAAGACTTCAGCCATCAAGCCGAGCCAGTGGAACATGAAGAAGCCCCCTATGAGAATGTACGACTCAGTGGATGATACGCAAGACAGTGGGGAAGGGAGTCTTACAAAGAGACCAAGCGAAGGCTTGGAAGGTAACGAGCTCTCGGCACTGATGAGCCCACGGTTGCCACTGGGTAGGGAAAGTATCGCGAGGGTTACCGCAGTTGAAGGCCTCGAAGGGAACGACACGGTTCAGCACACCGGCGGCAGTTCCCCAGAAGACGGTGAAGACGAAAGCCCAGAACGTCGACACTAAGAGACGAGCGTCAATAAACCTTATTCCCGTGCAAACGGAAACTCAAATCGAAGGGGACTCACTCCTGATACCAGACCATGGGTGCGCGACCACATATAGGAGCGTGCCGATACAGGAGAACAAGATAAGGCCAACAATGTTCTTGAACTCCAGGCTTGGGTAGTCCTCGGCCAAGTTGCCGTGGTTGTTGATGATATGAGCGTCGATACCGAGCTCAACACCCGCTACAACGCCATTAGCGCCATAACCTCTTTATCGTGTGAGGGGTACTCACTCATGGCAAAGATGAGGGCGAAGCTAAAACCGTAAACCCATGGCCTCACTCTCTGCCAGAAGGTCGGAGGAACCTCCTTCTCATCCATGTATTTGCCTGAGAGAGCAGTATGAGATTGGGGATACGTTGCGGGTAGGGAAAGGCAAGACAGACCTGGCATGGCGAATTACCTCAGTGAGAGAGGGAGATGAGGGAGGATGAGGGGGCAGTAAAGGGGCAAAGCGCAAGGGTGGGTTCGGGAAAGAACTTGGGAGGCTGGCTGGGCCCACGACCAGGATTATATATGCGACGGACGTAGAGGGCTGACGCATTACGAAAAGCCGCGCAGAGGCGGTGAGAAAGCTAGTCCGATATAGACCGCAGGGCAGGCAGCCTCCGACAAGGTCTAGGAAGCATTCGGGTCAGCCGCGAGAGGGTGGGTTTCGGACTCGGTCGTAAGTCGGCCTGGGCGGGCGAGAAGTGTGTGTTGTGTGAACGCGCCCGTCCGACGAAAGAACGGATCGAGGTTTGATTGGCTCCTGATCCAGATAGCGAGTAAATTTGGACTGCAGGCTGCGGACGCAATTGACGAGCATTTCCCAGCTGGCCGTACAACTCCTAACCCGGTATAAAACCTGTTTTGTAGGGAGCTTGGAGATGCTCTTGGAGCAACCAAGACACGTCGACGAACAGGCCTCCATGCTCGTCTGCGTGCACATCGTTGTTAATCGTCGGACGCAGCCGACACAAGCTCTGAAGCGGCGGGCAGGACGGGGCCGGGACCGGTATCCGACTCACAGGAGGGGCCAATTACATAAGCGCCGCGAACGCGTTAGACAATGCACCGTCATAAAACCTCGCGTCCTCGAGGCATTTGTCCTCCTTTGTCCCCCCCCCCGGAAGGATGCAGGCCACATGTATCCTGCTGGATAGCACTGATGCACATCTCAGTACGTTGTTATTTACTGAAATTCCCGCGAATGATAACCTAATACCGATTCCGCTCACAAGCGGGCCAGTCGCGGGCGCCACACGGGATCGCATTCAACTTCTGCGTTTGGGATTCGGGGAGCCCCGCTCCGGCCGGGCCAAATGCGGTAGCCGCCAGTTGCTCGCTCGGTGCACATGGCACACAAACGGCTCTGCGGACGAAGGTTGTCGGGCGATGTAATTGTCTATTATCAGTTGGCGGGAAATGGCTGCCGCTACTCCGTGTCGGATCGCTTTTTTCGAAGTGCATGCCAGGGGAACATGACGACCTCGACGCGCCGGACGACAACCTGGGCGCCCGTTTGGCTTAAGACAGTGCGGCGCGCGTACCGGGCACGCCGCAACGGGGATGAGTAAGTCGGCCCTAAAGATATGACGCACTATCCTTCGACGCGCGGATGTCGTTGGTCACACGAGGGGGCGAACTGCCACTTTGCTGTGGACGTATGTAATAGCATTGTCTAAGCTACGCGGTGCGCGTCGCCCGGAGGTCGCAAATCGACGCATACCGCCGCCGCAGGCTGGGAAGATGCGCCACCGAACCCGGGAAAATTGGCAATGGTAGTCGGTTCCACGTTCACTTGGTTCCTTAGCAGCAGCTGTATATTAGGCATCGTGCATCATGCTGTAGGCAGGAGAATCTTGCGATTGGTATATTTTTGGCTCTGATACACAACGAAGCGTGCTCTTCCATGAAGACTTTCGCCGTAGAACTTTCAAAACCCCAAGCTGATCCACAAGGATTAACACAGCATTTGTTCGCGGACTTCCTTCGCGACCGGTGACCAGCTGGAGTTGTAGCATTGTGGAGCGACAATTCAGCTGGAGGCCACTCGCGCATGTGTGGGATCACTCTGAGGCGATTTAAACGCGTGTACCACGTCCCGGCAGAACCATCGTATGCCGATCATCGCATGGGGATGTGCTCTAGCGTGTCGCTCACACAAATTAATATCGCGCGGTACTGAGTTTTGGGGGACGAAGGAGAAGATGGTGTGGTTGTGCGAGATCATCTATGTATGTCTTGTACAGAGGATGCTGTCGTACTATGTACAGATTGAAATGCGCAGGTATCAGGACATTAAGCCGGAGAGACGTGTGTATGTAACATGAGAAGCCCTTTAAACTCCTAAAACCCAGATAAAAGTAGAAGAGACGCGAGATACAACGAATATGCGAGGTTACCGATACAATAAGAAGGGTGCGGGGACAAAGCGAGAGGTTGGACGTAGCATCGATAGTAGCGCCGAAACGAACGGTGTTTGTGGGTGGCATCACCCAAAACGGGGGCACTTTTCTACCTTTGCGAGCGTGCCCCGGGGGAGGAGCAAAGAGTCCTCCAGACTTCGGATAATGATGATCGCCCAATCCTGCAGGGGTGTCGTTATCCCACGGTGAGTAATCTTGAGGGTTTTGCGCGGGATTGGACGACGCGCGACGCACCTGACAGTTCGACTCGCCTAAGCCGCGCTTTCGGTTATGCGAGTTGACGAGTTCTACTGCCGACTCCCCGTACATTTCGAGCGCGCCGAGCACGCTGTCGTTGATCTCGCCCAGGAGCAGCTTCCCGTCGTAGGGCTGATGCCCATGTGTACCCGTGAGGTGTACCCGTCTGACGACGGTAGGGAGGAATTGACCCATGCCATTGCCGTCGCCCACAATCTGGAACGCGGAGGGCCAGGGTAAGTTGATAGGAGGTAGCACACGTGGAAGGAATGACTGACTTCGTAGAATGTAGCATAGGCACGCTCGTTCAGTTCGTAGGTGACGGCGAGAGCCCAGTGTTTAGGAGAGAGTTTTGTGATGGCTTGGTACCAGACGAGCCAAAGGTATGCCATAGACTGAAGAGAAGGAGCTAGGGATGAAGTAGAGGACTGGTGAGTGCTCTGGAGGGGACGTACATTTGGGAGACTTGGATGCGCGGCTTGCGCGATACTGCGTGGAGAAGTACGTGACTGGGAGGGGTTCAAGTGAGGGGGTGTGGAAGAGTTAGTGGCATGCAAGAGTAGAGGGACATCTAGCATGTATACGAGCTGGAGGTCATCTAAAAGGGGGCGGATCGTCGACGAGCAATAGTCCGGAGGGGATGGCAGCTTGCTGGTCCAGGAACAAGGTCGGGGACCACGCTCATCCCAAACGGCCCTCCATGTCAGACGAGTCCGCCGGCGTGCACCTCCTATGAAGCCGCCGCACGTGACCCCTGTGCCTTGGCATTTCCATAATAGCAGCAGTCCATCATTCTCCCCTCGTTCTCCCCGGCGCGGAGTCATCCCCCGTTGGTCACTGCCAGATCTGGGCGAGCCTCTCTCGCCCCTTGTCTCGACTGTCCTGTTTGGCAGAGCGTGGTTTGGCGGTGTCCGTGGTGCACACGCCCATGTCTGTCTCTCCTCAGGACTTTATCCGCGCCCTCAGAGCCCCCGCAGATCCTCCTCACCCAGGCGGGCCTGAAAAGGTGCAGATCGCATGCGACGTCTGGAATAGCCCTGCTCTTTACGTGCCAAACAAAGGCGAGGCCATCGCTGAGTTTCTACTTTCACGTCTCCTCAAGGACAAGGACAAACTCCCGTAAGCATGAAATTTTTTTTACCAGCCCGCACCACGCCGTCCTCACAGCGGACGATAGTGGCACAAATCCGCTATTCGATGCCCGGTATTGGAGTCTCCTCCGCGACATCCTCGTTGGCTCTGATGTCGCAAAATCACGCTCGGCCAAGGCATGGCTCGTGCCCATCCTCCAGCGCACGCCACTCGTGCCGATAGCGAATACCGTCCTCACTTCATGGATGTACCACACGGCGGCCGTGCTAGCCCAAGTACTACCTGCCGCGGAGTGCTTATCGATTCTATGGCCGCTAGCTGTCCCAAAATTCAGCCCAGAAGCTCTTCTGGAATGTTTTGGAACCGTTATCCGTCTGCTGGACGATTACTCGTCCTTCTTCCAGGCACTGGATCCTAGCGCTCGAACACGCGCTGAACACGTCCTTACGCAGATTGTTGACTCGTACCGGTATTCTGCCACCAACGCCTCGAACAAGAAAAAGGTCTGCGCCACAGCCAGCCTGCAAATTACTTTTCTCTCACACCTTTACCTAGCTGTTCACCTCGTTTTCAACAAGCCATCTCCAGGCTTGGCTAGAGTGCATCCATCTGCAGAATGGCCTTCCACCGGCGTTCCTGTGCTCTGATGTCTATGAGGCCGGCGTGGAGACCATGTTCAACGTCGACGTCCTCCGACAAGCTCAGGATAGAGATGATTATCCCTATGTCGAGTTTCTCTCAAGCGCTATAACAGCGAGCCCGGTGGCTGCTTGTCATGGCTTGCCTCGTTTGTTCAAGGCGTTCATACAAGTTACTAGGAGACACAAGGCAGCAATCTTCGGTCAGAGCTCTCACCAGGCTCCCGGAGCGTCTGCGGACCAGGCTCGCCAGGCTTCTCTGAAGTTCTTTGCCATGTGCGACTCGCTGCTGAGCCCTGTCAACGAGGACGAGATACGCTGGGAAACAAAAACTAAATTGCTCCGGATTATGAATTCCGAAGGACTCTACGGCGCAAATAACGAGTCGATAGACAAAGTTCTTAGCCGCATCGGCGAGGAGACGATCGCCGGGCTCGCCAACTTTATTCTGGTAGATGGCTTCAGTTCAGTCTCGTC